AGCACTGATTTGGTCTTAAAGCAACCAAGTTATCCCCAGTTGGAACAAGAAAATGCTCATCACCATATTCTTAATCCAAACAATAATTTGTTTTTATGCAAGTTCAATTGTTATGAGCAAGAATTATTGCTTTTCATGATTTCTTAATTAGAGGATTCATCAAATTATAACAATTTTTTATGCGAGCCGAATGTCAAAAAATAAATTATATACAAGTACTGGAATGACAGAGCCTCAAATAGAGTTGAATGGGGTGTGGGTGTGTGGGGGTGTGTATATATATATATATATACAGAGAGAGAGAGAGCCGACTCGAGCCGAGGGTCTGCCGGAAATAGCCTCTCCTCTGCCTTCTTAAAGGTAAGGGTAAGGTCTGCGTACACACTACCTTCCCCAGACCCCGCTTGTGGGATTGCACTGGGTTTATTATTGTAGTTGTTGTATATTTAGTCGACTCCAATAGTTTGAGATTCATGCTTAATCAATTAATTGATATGATTCCTCAATTAATAAAACACAAAATGTGGCGCATATAATCCACAAGTCGGATAGTAAACAAAATTTGTTCAAATTCATAGTCCATAAGACTAGCATTTGACAGATAAAATTATTCAATTAGTCAACCTTTTAATTAACCACAAATTTTATACGTTTTATACCTATAACAGCAAAACCGCCAACAATACGTTTATACTCCATTTGATCACTTCATCGAAGATGAAGTCACACAAATCAATTAAAACATGAATAAAAATGAATAAATATCAAGAGAAAGGTAAATCAGTTAAATGAACCTACAATTCAAGTAAATTCAAGTTGATTATTTAGCTAGTCAACTTTTTGAATGAAATCACAAACTTTTACACCTATTACAGCAAAAATGTCAGACAATGACGTTGTAATCCTTTCGATCTCTTCATTCATGGAGACTTCAAAACAAATCAAGAACAATAAGCGAATAGCTTAAATATCAAAGAAAGGTAAAACAGTTAAATTGGCCTATAATTCAAGCAAAATGATATATCAAAAATACTCAAACTCAGAGCTCAAAGATCATTACTCATAGCTGAATTTCAACAGGATCAATCAATAGAAAAAAACATTGAAATCTATCAAATCAGAGGAATAAACAACAGAAATTCAATTCAAAACTTCGAAAAAATCCGCAAGTGAAATGCTCAAAATGTAGCTTCTACTCACCGACATTGCAAACGTTCGAAGAGAGGTCGAAAAAATCAGACGGCGAAGAGAATGAATTGCAACTGAGCAAAGAGAAGAGAGGATTTTGGAATTGAGGGTTGACAGGGTTTACAAAATGGAGAGCCGGCGATAATTTACGGCGTTGACGGAGTTATTATGTGTACTGTGTACATAATTCGACCAGTAGCATGTATTTGCTGACATAATGCTGATTTCCGATTTGTTTATTTATTTTTACTTTTTTTCTAGAATTGTGATTTTTTTTGTCATTACAGGTCGACACGTAAATATTGGGCGGTAACCTTGTTCAAATTTGACGCCACGACTTTAACTTTACGGGAATGCGAAGGAATTATTTTGACTACTATTTTCGGCTCATTTTAGCTGTTCGGACACCTTTAGAGAAAAAAATTAGAATAATTTTACGGGGGGAAAACATAACTATGACATATTCACATAGTTTCAGAGAATTGATCAAGGCACATAGCGATTATAGTAAGAATGTGCTTTCAAGGATTCAAGCTGATCAACTAAAAAAATATGTTCTAGAAGATGAAACTGTCGAAATTCTTTAGTTATTTAGGTTGAGTCAATTGTTTATTAATTGTAATCCAATTTGCTTTTGAAAGGTGTATTGCTAGGTTATCAAATCTGAAGAGTTTGTTTAGTTTTCTAGACTATGGTTTATAATCTTGGAAGGGTAGCTACAATAGGATTACTTGTAGGTAGTGGTGGCAAAGTGGATAAAAAAATAGTTATTTATCCATATTATTTACTAAAAAAAGGGTTGGATAATGAACTTTTTAAAATTGGATCAAATTTGGATAAGAACCATATTATCCAGTTAAAAAATAAATTATCAATAGATAACCAATGAGTTTAACTTTTACATTTGCAAAGACTCAAATTTGATGTTTCTCAAGTTTGAAAGACTAGGAATTCTTCCAAAATTGATCATATTCAAGAATCCATGGATAATATAAATATTCATATTATCCGCCGGTTAACCCATTTTCTATCCATATCAAATATGGGTCGGGTCGAATATTTTATCCGCTTTTGCATTACTCATTTTTTGTTCGACGATATCCGATCCGACCCGCCCATTTAGTACCCCTACTTATAGGGGTTAAGGTACTAGAGTTAGTCCCTTTTGATTATTAAATTGTAACCTAAAACAACTCTCTTAACTTATTAAAGTTTTGAGGCAAATCTTACGAGGGTAAATTGTGATTTTTACTCCCTCGAGCAAGGAGGTTTTTCACGTAAAATTGCTTATGTACCTTAAATTTTGTATTGAATAGTTAAGTCAAAGAACTAAATTTCTGAAAGAACCAAATTTTTTGACACGCAAAAATCCGGAAAGACACAGTTCACTCTCCCTTCCCCTAGTCTAGGTACGTCAAAAAATAACAAGCCCCCATCCCCCTTATGAAATTAGAAAACTCAATATTTAATTTTAGATGCAAAGTGTATTTGTAAAATTAATTATTTTTTTTAAAAAAATTAATGAGATGTTTCAACGAATTATCAATTCTCAAAAGTATTACCATATCCATGTGCAATATAATTAAATTAATAGTATATCAATGATAGTTATCTTCCAAAAACGCACACTAGTTCTGCAAAAAACTAAATTAATACTGAGTAATTTGAAGTTGACAGAACGTTTTGGGCCCATTGCCCCATTTTACAGTTAAATAAAGGGCCATTATTTCTCCAAAACAGAATGTTCCTTATCACATTATCATTTTCAAAATTCTTTTGAAGTATTTGCATAAGTCATAAATTCTTTTTCCTATTTTCATTTCAATTTTCAAAATCTTCTCTCGTATTTTCAAGTGCACTCATGTAAAAAGAGTAATAGAAAAGGTCCATTCCATCCTAAGTTGAAGTGACTGCCTCAAGAACATAAAACCTTCAAGAACATATTTGTCATGACCCAAAATCCCGCCTTAAGATCGGGATGACGCCTAGCCGCGCCATACATGCTAAGCAAGCCAACCACATTCCACAAAAAGTATAGCCAAATTTCTTTAATTAACAAAGTTATATTATAACTAAAGAAAGAAATAGTCTCAAAGCAGTAACAATAACACGACCAATACAATACAACCACCAAAACTAGGTGGCACAAGTACACGAGCAACTACAATAATAGAACGAGTATGTATACGTAATAAAGTTGTCTGAAATACAAATAGACAGGAAATAATAAAAGAACAGGGCTCGGGCACTGCAAAATGAACCCATGAAGTGTAGCTCACCTTGAGTCTCCGTGATAAAACCTAAGCTCAGCTGGAGGCTCCGCTAGCACCAACCTGAGGATCTGCACAAAAGATGTGCAGAAATATAGTATGAGTATATCATAATCGGTACCCAGTAAGTATCAAGTCTAACCTCGAAGAAGTAGTGGCAAGGCTAGATGCATGAGAATACTTACAACACAAATAATAGAACTTAGAACTAAAATAATAGATAATGTCACGAATAACAAGAATCAAGGATTTCAACAGTCGAAGAGTATAAAGCATGCTTTTCCAGTGCAATAAATAATCATAACACGGCTCAAATATGATATTAACATATAACATGATCAAATAACGGAGCCGAGGCTCCCAGGTAGCATATAGAGATATCATGCAACAATTAGCAGCTAAATGAATACTTGTGAATGTGTCAAATATATCTATGCATACTCAAGCGGTACAAGATATATGTACCACGATACAAAATTCATATATCATCATAACCCGCTACAAAATCCATGTATCGACCACGCTCACAGGACCCAAAGTAATATAGATAATAACCTGACTTCGAAGGGACGGATCTAAATCCAAGCGCAAAGAGGAGCCTATAGCTCACTCATAATCAAGTATTCAATCATCATGTTTTGTGTGCAATGACTGTATCTCACCCACAAGCCTTACCCTTCGTGCCAAAATTATCAATCCAGCTCAAGTATCCATAAAAAGAAATATATGCATGCATTCAAGGATTATAGATAAACGATGCACAAGGACTTAATAAACATTATACGGATATGTGCTCATGTAATTTCTATATGACTATAGATGGTTTAAGCAATTCAACATGTCAAGAATAAGTTCTCATACCTTCACAAATAATCATAAACCTAGGCATGATCTCTAACATGAATAAAAGTGTGAACATAGTCATATAAGCTAAACAAAACCATGAATCAAATAGCACATAATCAAAACAAGGCATAAAGTATTCCAATTCTACCCGGGTCATGATGTAAATATGGTAAGTGTAAATACACTCGCCACCACGTATATATACCACCCCAATATCTTAAACACATAATATTCAAGTTAAATCCTAGGGATTTCCCTCTTAACAAGGTTAGCCAAGAGACTTACCTCTACCCGGTAGGCTTTAACCTTCCAAAGTAGCCTTCCCTCTCAAATCAACCACTGAACGAGTCAAAACTAATCAAATACAACTGAATAGTGTCAAACAAAGACATTCGAACCAAACAATAAAGTTTGGATATTTAATCAAATTCCCAAAAGTTAACAAAAGTCAACCGATCCCACATGGTCAAAACCCAAGTCAAGGGGTAGATATCAGCTACCCACAACCCCACGAGTCCAAATATGTGATTAGATTTCAAAACCGAATCCAAATCGACTCCCAAATCTCCAATTTATACTCTCCAAAATTGTAGTAAACCCCCCCAAGTTTCACGTTCAAATCCCATAATTTATGTGTAGTAATCCATAGGGAAACGCGATATAATATCACAATCAAGTAGAAATCACTTACCCTTAAAGAGGTGACGAAATTCTCCCCAAATATCGCCTCTAGCGGAGCTCCTAAACTCAAAATAGTGAAAATAACTCATACCCTTGAAAAATAACTTCCGCCCAGCGACTTCCGTATCTGCGGATAAAACAGTTGCTTCTGTGACGTCGCATTAGCGGCAAAACCATCGCAGATGCGAAACTCACTTAAACAACTGCACCTCCTCTTCTCTGATACTTCTCCGCATCTGTGGTCTCGTTGGTGCCCTCCCCATGTGCATTTGCGCTACTAAGTCCGCATCTACGGACTCCCCTGCCCAGGCCAACTTGCGCTTCTGCGCACTACTCGCCGCATCTGCGACCTCGCACCTGCGCCCAATTTTCCGCAGGTACGACACACCAAAACTCTGCCAAAAACCAACAATGCCAAAAATAAGGGAAAATGGTCTGAAACCACCCTGAATAACACCTCGAGCCCCCTGGGACCCTGTCTAATTATGCCAAAAAGTTCCAATACCTAATCCAAACTTGTCTAAGGGATCGAAACACCACAAATAACATTCAAACCAAGAATCGATGATCAAAATCACTCTCTTAAAATCAAGAGCTTCCAACTTGCAACCAAGCGTCCTATTCAAGTCTAACCAATCCGGATTCCAACTAAACTTTGCACACACGTTCTAAATAACATAACTAACATATTCCAATCCTTAGTCAACTCTTACAACTTAAACTTTCAAAATGAAACTAAGTGTCTCAATTCACTCGCAAACCTTCCTGAAGCCAAACTAACCACCCCAAGCCACAAAATCACAAACACACATACATAAAGCATCAAATAAGGAAACGAGGCTCAAATACAACAAAATGACCGCCCGAGTCATTACATTCTACCCCTCTTAAGCAAATGTCCATTCTCGACAGATTTTCGAAACATACTCGGAGTGCCAAAAAGATGAGAATATCTGCTCCGTATATCATGCTTGATATCTTAAGTCGCTTCCTCAACTGACTGACCTCTCCACTGAACCTTTACCGATGTAATATCTTTCGACCGTAACTTCTGAACCTGCCTATCTAAAGTGGCCACTGGTTCCTCCTCATAAGCCAAGTTTTCATTCAACCGAACCGAACAGAAATCTAACACATATGATTGATCCTCATGATACTTTCGAAGCATGAAAATATAAAACATCGGATGAACTCCTGATCATACTACACTTCTGCACATTGCGTGCAGATATTGGATGTTGATGTTGCGGAGACTGACGGGAGTTGGATTTGAAGATGTACCCATGTTCCGGTTGTAGCTGCCTCTTGTTCATGGTAGCCTTAGATTATAAAGATCTGTATATGTATATTTCGAACAGATGATGTATTTATTTCATACTTGCTTTGTGAATTCTAATCTT